AAAAATAATTGCAAACAATGGACAACAAATTTACATCATGCCAGGCATAAAAAAATATATACATATACTGTAAAAGGCGTCATTATTTTCTTGGCAACTAATATTTGGATGTAGGCTACGGTCACAGTCTTGTGTACAGACGAGTGATACCCTTATATGCGAGGATCGATTAAAACAACTTGGTTTCATAACTCAATTCGCTTTTTTTACAATGTTTTAAGTTTCAAGTGTTTAAAAAAATCATATTACTGCTGTTTACAATTCTTGTAATACAAAACAGATGGTTGAGATATTCAACGACATTTCGATGGGAGGGAAGATTAACGGCCCGAAGGGTTAAATGAAAGTTTTTTCGGCTTTTCATGAAAACGGCGGGTAAATATTCCAAGGGGCGTGCTTATTTGTCTGTAAAAGGAGCCCTTAGCCGAGACCACCCCCCTCTGAGGTCTGACGGTTGGCACAGCTTGCCTCCAGCCTCCGAGAATGTATCTTTAGGGAACCGGCTCGATTTGCCTACCAAATCGCATGACCGCCCCCTGGCAATTACAAGTGTGTCGGTGGCGGTTGATACGCCTCCTCGTCAGTAGACCGCCCATTACCGACCCCTTATCTCTCCAGTCCTTGCCCTAGAGCTAATTACCCCAGCCACGTGTATTATCGGACTATATAATCATTAATTTATTCTTGATTTTGAACTTTCTCAAAGGGGTTAGATTCAAGGAAATACTGGTTAGTCAAAAACATGACGAGCGTTTTAACAGGATAAAAGAAAATAAACAAACAAACAAATAAATAAATAAATCGTTAAATGCTAACACATTGCATAATTCATTATTTTTCTCACAATAAAAGCGATTTTCTTGTTGTGTCGTCATTTTCATATTTGCTACCAACATGCACGCAAATTTTATCATTTTTTAAAAATAAATAGTTAAATGTCTATTACCGCATTTGTATGGCTTTTTTAATTTGAAACAAAACAAATTCTTTCATAGTACTGGAAATCAAAATTTAAAACCATTGTAAAAAAGTGAACGAAATTATAAGCTTAAACGTTAACAACGTAAACATAGAGAAAGATGAGATTAAAGTAAGTATGCATTATCATAAAGTACATGCAATTTTAATAAAAATAGTTTACCAATATAATCACAAAGATAATGATAGCGTCGACAGCGTACAATTAAAAAGTTGAGACGAGTGAAAGTAATTTAAACTGATCAAAAGTGAATATTAAAAAATTGAAGTGAAATTTACTTTTCCTAGCATTTTTATTTTATTTTTATTATAAATTACTTTAAAATTTATTAGAAATTATGTTTTATACTGAAGGCAAATTTAATTACGGGATTTTGACAATAACAAAATAATTTCGTAATTTCGTTTATTGAACACAATAATTTTTTAAACATTTAATACCGTGTATAATGGCTCTGTTAGCTAAAACCTCTGTGCACCATGCATACGTAATTATGCCTTAGTTGCCTAACATAGTTAATAAGGTTGTAACTAAATTCATAAAGAACTTCAGTCCATAGATGTTGTAACGCTGCACTCAGTTGTTGCAGGTCAACTGGCTGCGGATGGTAGTCAAAAAGCCTTCGTTGCAACGCATCGGACGTGTACTCAATGGGATTGAGGTCTGGAGACAATGGGGGAAGGAACAGATGTGAAATTACCAGGTTTTGCCAGTAACTGTGCCTCTATGAGGTCTGGCGATTGTCATCCAGAAATCGAAAATCCCTTCCAATGGGATCCTTGGTTTTGAGAAGCGGCCTTCTCTATCTAGGGAGTGCACAGGAGACCAGGCTGATGTATTTCGTCTGAGGTAGCCCTTTGCGTGCGGCATACGGTTCGATTCTTAATGCGGACCCGAGCACTCGAGATGGGCAAGCGGGGAGAGAGGTTGTTTTGGCCCATCGGGGCTGAACTGCCTCCAATGCTGCGGCAGTAACACACTTCTGTCGTATGAGGAAGTGCTTCAGCTCTCATCTTGAGAATCAAAACGTCCGATAAGGCCGGAAGCTAGGTGCGGACTTTAATGATCCTCATTGTCCTTTAAAGGACGACCAAGTATACGGGAAAGCAATGCTCCATATTCCCCTGAATTGCTGGAAAAGGTTCCGTCTTGCAGCAATGACAAAATATCTTTCTCCCCCTTCATAATGCGCTGAGATCCATTACCGTCTATTGGCACTTCCAGTCTCTCGGAATCGAGCTAAAGCCTGGGAGACGACGCTCTGAGAAATGCCAACTGCCACTGCGATATTCACTTGCCTGTGACTTCGATGCCTCATTCTCACAATAATATTGCGAACTTCTGGTTCAAGATGATTTTTCCATTTTAAAAAGAATAACAGTGGATTAAAATGGAGAAGAGTTGAGCAAAGGTGTTTGCTTACAAAATGGTAATTTTCACATTTACTATTATTAAGTAAATCCGTTATTACTGAGCATAAACATTTTTTTTGTATTTTGTATTTTGTTTTGCATATTGGTTATTGAATTTATCGGTTTTAATGAATATGTGCAATATTGCAAAACGGTGAATTTAGGGTGCTAATTTCCGGCCTAAATTTATCTTTTAATACACTATATGTATTCTTGTGCCTTCCTGTATATGTGATATATTTATTTTTCTCTCTGAATGTGACTTCGAAATCAAACTGTGTTTTGGCCATATTATTGCACCATGTCCTACAGTTTCACTGTAAAGTAAACAACTTTGATGTATTCCTCTTTGTACCATTTTTTGGCCTTGTCCGTATGCAGAACGACCAAGTCTTTGTTTATTTTGAAAACCTTTTTGTCTGGTTCGCAAACTTTGCATTCTGACACTAAATAACGCCACTCATTGGGAACATCGAACCCTGATGGAACTCGCCTCTTTGTGCGTTTCTGGATCTGAAATGAGGTGGGTACTCTATTAATTGTAACTGAATTTTATTATGTATTTTAGATATTTATAATTATGACCAGTATTTTTTTTAAATTCATAAATACATACACATAAATACATACAGACATACATACACATACATACATTCATACACATAAATACATCCATACAGTACACTCATTCCTTTTGGTCGGTGGAGTACTTGATATTCCTCCACCGACCTATACTCAAACTAATCTGATTGGGGTCGTTGGAGTATTTTTGCAAATATTCCGCCATCGACCCCGAACACACACTCATACGCTCTCAACGTTCGAGGGGCGATCATGATGTTATATTTCACCCTCACCTCTCGCCATGCACGCTAATAAATACATGCACTCAGACAAAACATATACACACACGACAGATAAGACATATATACAATAAAAAAAAACAATTTCCTCTAAAAGCGGAACAGTGGACTCTGAAACTCGCTACCGTGTTCGAGAACTCTTCTTAAGACCGTCGGCATGCCTAGACGCTCTTTGTGTGGAGCGAAGGCATGACACGCCTCTATTATGTGGGACACCGAGCTCTCCGCATAAGGGGCACCTGCGCGGGCTTTGGCCCAAAAGCAGGTGCCCATGTGTCAACCGCGTATGGCCAATCCTCAGTCGGGTGAGGTCGATCCCTCGTCTCCTGGTCAGGCTCTCTGAGGGCCATGTACCGGTCGTGCTCTTGACGTATGACCAGTGTTGGTTAATAAATTGTATATAATTCTGTATATTTTAGAATCTCAAGCGGAGAGGGGTGGCTGATGCCCCGAAAATCGATCTCGAATAAAGACGTAAAAGCAAACGGGTCTTTTGTTCCACACATCGACTTATATTACATCAAATACCAGCTCGAAAAAGAAGAAATATATCTCTAATTGTGTTTTAGTATTACTTCTATAGTTTGATATGTAATATTACAATAAAAATGTAAATTATGGTTATTGGGCAGATGAGATACCTAGTGGAGCTCTAAAGGGCATTTTCAGTCATAAAAATAATTCAAAAAATGCGGTTCGTTAACATCTCAAATACTTCAATATTTTGTTCATGCTGCTACAATATATTTTTACGTACAAAATGTGAAACATTAAAATTATGAAACCGGGAGTGTTATGTAGAAATTTTAAACCGCTCTGGCCAGGTTTCGTGGTATCGGCGTTTTGAAAAATGGGGAATATTTCCGCAGGAAACAAAATAATATCGCTTGACCAGAGCCTGTGTATTATCGACTGAATTAAAAGGATCGGTATAGTAAATTTACATTTATTTGCCTTTCTCAGCCCCCATCCCCTGTTTAGTGATAAATACAGCAGTATTTCCGGCGGTATAGTCTGTAAAAAATCCGCTTCACGAAACCTACAAAACCCCTTCCTCTTTTTCTTTTTTTTTTCTCGTATTGCTTTATGTAAAGTTATGGAAATGGCGAGTTCTTTCTAATAAGAGGGGAAGCTGTCGTCTCTTGTTATGATTCAGTCCGACTCTGTTATGAATTAGTCAGTTCTTCCCCCATCCATTTTTGAAAACTTTGCTTTGCACGCCCGAGGAAACATTGTATCGGAAATTTGACTTTATCATTGTATCGGTATTTAAAATACTTTGAGGTGAGGTAATGCCAGCTGAATAAAAGGAAGAAATACTTGAAAAAGTATTTTATGAAATAATGTTTATTAATAGGTGTGGGGTTGTTCCAAAGCAGCTAGAATACACAAAAGTTTACCCCCTTTCGAGTGAATTTTATAGAGTTTGTACAACACACTTTACGGAAAAATATCTTCCTTTTGTTCTTATGTAATTTATTGTTCGTATTATATAAACACAATGGCCAATTAGCTATTGCCATACATTTGCACCGAAAGTAGACAAGGAAATAATCTTATTATTTATAATTAATTTATCTCTGTACGGTTAGTGACTTAGTGTGAATAAAACATATAGTAAGGGTCAGAACTTTGCAATACTTTTTGATATTATCCTCCATTGAAAGTGTATTTTGAAAGATTTATGTAGGAGTTTTAATTCAATGTTTATCACGCTTTTTTAATTGTATTTTTGTTCATTTTCAGGAGCGCTTGGCCTGAAAAACGTTTCACTTGTTATTCTACCTCAAGCAGTGGAACGAGGCCTAGAAGCAACTTTGTTGTGCCAGTACGACTTAGAAGGAGAACCATTGTACGCGGTCAAGTGGTACAGGGGGGTTCGGGAATTTTACAGGTATTCGCCCAACGACAACCCCCCGTCAAAGATTTTCCCCTACGACGGCATCAACGTCGACGTAAGTTACAGATTTTTCACTTTTTCTATTTGTCGAAAAGTATGTCAAACAACAAAACAAAAGCTACATCATCTCAAAACTATTATCAAATCATTTGAGTTTTAACTTTGAACTATTAGAGTGACTTATGTCAACGTTAAAATGCCCTGTGTACACGGGGTATTTTTATTAATCTTAAAAATAATATTAAGCATCATGCAATGGTTTCAAAATTAAATATCTATAAGCCTGCCTACTTGGATTAATTATTAAGGCCCTGAAGATTATCTCAATAAAGATCGAAACGTTGGCACGATAAAGAAAATGTTTTTCTGAAGCCTACATCACACCAGACCGCATCTCACGATTTCTGAGTAATTATTTAAAGCATTAACAATCAATTCTTCAAGAAACTATATGAATTGAATATCTATGGCAATAGTTGCAACTTCTTTAAGTCAAGTAAAACTATAAATCGCCAAACATAAAACAAAAAAAAGGGGTTCTCAAAAGACGTACAAACATTATTAAAAATTGTGTTGCAGAATATCCACTCAAATTTAGAAAAAATAATTTAAAAAATTTTCTTCTGCTGTAATGGTACTTATATAATTAACCTAATCGTTATAAAAGTCATAAAAACCTTCCCAAAATGGCACTAATTTTGAAATGTCCAGAAACATCAATTGGTAAAATTGAACTTGAAATAACGAATGGGGAAAATGTAATAATAATATTTCATTTTCACTGTAAGCCACTGAGTGTCTCTATATGTATGATAAATCGAACATCATTAAAAGTATTGCCATTTTTGATATATCAAGCTTCAATATCCACCCTTACGCTATAAAAGATCACTGTGACATTTTCGCTTAAATCTGTCCTTTCTGATCGGGGTTTGAGAGGCAATCTGTCAACGTTGGGGATTCTCATGCCTCTCATGACTCAGGAGACAGGTGTAGTTCTCCTTTAAGTTATAACATGTCAGAGACTTTAAGGAGAGGATTAAGTTTTTACATACAGAGTGATAACTGATAAGCATCAAATAAGACGAGACAAAAATATTACCAGCGGGGATGGGCCGTTCAAATCGACCGGACCGAACTACTGTTTTTCAACCTGCGGAACCCAAGAAAAAGAGCTCACAAAAATGATTGCATTCACCTTTTCTAAATATTTACTGAGTTGTATTTTTTTCACCGTTTTTAATTGGTACTAGTTAATCCGTTTCTATAGCCTCCAATTTTGAAATTAGAGCCAGCGTAAGGATATTTTTGTGATATTGTTGCATTGGTGAAGTTGGAGCTCCAATAAATGTTATGAATTCCTTAAAGGAAACCGAGACTCCATTGCAAGTCGTAACAAATATAGTAGACTTTTTATAACTAAAAATCCAATGTACAGCTTATATATTGAGCAACTACGACCTAGATGGCAATTAGTATTGAGTATAGTTCCATGAGTTAAAAGAAATTGAATAAAGAAATCAATAATTATCATTAATTACCATTACGATGTCCAACTTCTGATATTTATTTTAATGACTTCGACTTAATAATATATTTTTTCTTTTGTTCTTTTGCTTCTCAATAAGTTTTTATCTCTGACTGTTCCGCTCTGTTGTTATAATTTTCACTGAGATTTTAACGGAAATTTATTTCATTAATCTGCAATCTTGTTGAAGTTTCCATTTTAATTTTTTTACAATGCCTATTCATAATTGATTAAAGAGATGAACAAGTTGTATGTAATTGTATTTCTTTTTCTTACTTTTGACTTGCGTCATTCACCAAACCAAATAATGTACATAATTCGGTTTTCTCAATGCTTGTGTTACTGTTGGGAAAATAAAAATTTGTAAATATATGAACAAAGTGGTTCGCTATGAGAGGAAAATATAATTTGGTGATAATAGTTTGTAACAGGAGTAGAACCAAAGTAAAACCAGGCTAAATGGTTTTGAAACACACTGTAACAATGATATTTAAAAAATCGGAGAAAATAACTTTTTTCTCAAAAATATAGATTTTCTCCCTTATGTACACATTTTCATCAAATAGACCATTCTCTCAAAAACAGATTTCCTTCGAAATTGAGGTTGTTTTTAAATGTACGTTACAATGTCTAAAGAAGGAGTTATCTACTGAATACTTTCGGCCCGACTGAAAGTCATTTCACTGGCATAAATCTTGAAAATTTGAACATTGGAAAATCATTGAAGAATTTTAAAAATTGACTGAAGTGTGAAGAAACTTCCTAAAGATTAGTGAATTTCACAATATTACACATTATCTCGTGCGAGATTCCTTAGTAAGAGACAAAGTATGGCAGCGATAAATATCCAGTTACACATGATTCTAGGATTCTACAATTTTTCTTGGGACTTATATTTCGATTTCCACGCTTTGGGTTTGTGTTCAAGCGTGGTAATTGAAGGGGTTAGTATCAAAAATCGGTGACCACTATCACAAAAGAAAACAATAATAAATCAAAACGCAAACGATTGTTCTAAAATTAAAGAAAATTCATGTTGCAAACAAATAATTTCATGTTTCTTTTAGAATAAATAAATTAAAAATTTTATTCTTACAATTCACATATATTCAAACGTGAAACTGTATGTTTGTAACCATGAGAAACGACAAAAGGAAATAGTACTTGCAGTTCGATTTGAGTTTGTAGTGTGTGTAACTATTATTTAATTTATCAACAGTTATATTTTGTGTAGTTAAGGCCGTTTACTATAAATACTCAATAAAATACAGTCTATATTAAATTCTGGTTACGAAACTTGTGACCCAGTTGAATACCGAAATCTAATATTTGATAAGCGAAATTTCATTAAAGCTGGTAATGTAAATGTAATTGAATAATCAGCAACTGCGTAAACTAACCAAACCACGCTTTTCAACGAAATTAAAATATTTTTACAAAGAAATAGTTAAAAATGAGATGTGAAATATGAACTGAAAGATAAAACACATAAACTAAAAAAAATTGGAAATTCACGAAGCCGTGCTTTTCAATGAAATGTGTGAATGAAAGGTGTTGTTTTGTGATCATCGTACAATCGAAAGAGGTACGTACAAAGGGTTTCTCCGGCCTATCTGAAATTGCGAATTGTTAGGTTAATTGTCCGTCTCCAATTAGACCGGACGACAGTATTAATTACATTGAATTTCAGATTTTCCGGAACCACGAAGGCTCATTATTATTCAACGTTAATCCGTTCTATTTCTGATGAATACAAGGGCGTGGTCTTCACATACGGCTATATGTTTACTCTGTGTTTTGATGTCAATGCAAGACGTGTTTTACAGCATCTCGTTATGCTACTATTGTAGGAAATTTAAACCTAGTATGTAAGTCCTCAATCCCATTCTGTGTTATATAATTACTCTTAATTGTAAAATAACAATGTGCGCTACCTCGCGGTTTGTAAATACGCCGTTGCTCCAACAGTTGAGCTATATATACTGGTAAAGCAGCGGCGTATTTAGCCGAAGGTCCTAGGTTCGAATCTCGCTTGTGGCACTAGCTTTCTCATTTCAACCAAAACCTTACAAAAAAGATTAATTAATTGAAAGAATTAATTTGGTCAATAGACCACTAAATATAATGAATGTAAGAATTATTATTTGAGTATTGTGATTTTCGGGGTGATTTATATATACAGGGTGTCCCAGTTCCTTCTGAATAAACTCAGGGAATAGATTCTACTCTTTGTTTGGAGCAAAAAATGCTGATGAGAAAATTTTCGGAAAGTTCTCTATTTTGAAGATATTCGTCAATTTAAGTTTTTTCAACTTTTCACTACTTTACCACATAAAAACGCTTACAACTTCCAAAATGTTGAGACTATAATAAATCCAATTACACCATTTGAAAGAACGCTAAATTTGCTATAGGACACTTCTATTTGCAATAATCTTAATGACATAAAATGTTCGCCAATATCAGTTGGAATGGAACATCAAAATTACAAAATTTCAAATTTTGGTCATGATTGCACGTTCTACTGAGGTTACAAAAAAATACCTACAACTTGTCAAATTTCACAAAAATTTCTTAATCTAATATGCTTTACGTTGATTTTTCAACTCTACTAGAACGTTATTTAAAAACCTGGATATATCAACATATTTGATTCCCTGAGTTTCGTCAGAACGAACTAGGACACCTTGTATATATATATATATATAAAAATTTCATCACTTATTGTATAGGCGAACCGGTTAGAACTGTAGCTAGTTAAAAATAATCAACAATATGACAAAAATGAAAATAAATTTAGTTTCTTGAAAAAATAATTATTTCGTACTCCTTTTTTAAAAATTGTTGATTTACTCGTATTATTAATAAATAGGGCTTATGGTTATCTATCCGTCATATATATTTTTGCAATAATGAAAGGTTTTTTTTTCTTTTTTTATTATTATGGTGCTTTGAATTTGTAAAATATTCTGTATCCTTCTGCCCAAATACACTAATGGGGTAAAAATGATTGAATTCATGAAATAATTTTAATCTTTGAGCTGGCTTACTCCAATTAAGCTTTTTAGTATATGTTTATCTATTCAAATTTTGATGAGCTAATTTCATAAATTTAGTAATTTGATCATTTCAAGTTGCCCTCCCCCCATTTTATGAAATTCATTTTATTAATGTCCTGGGACATGTTTAAGTTTCACTGTGTGTGTGTGTGTTTTTGTTTGTTTTAAGTAAATATTACATTAGTTCGTTTTTTAAGGTTTAATAAGAAAACCACAAAAATTCACCTCTTATGGCTTTGGTTCGGTTGAGGGGATATTTTTGTCTGTTGAACCTCATTCCTCCTCACGTAACATACTAACTTTATAAACGACTTTGATTAGATTTGCCTCTCGCACGGCGCCGGTTTAAATTGACTGACACCTGTGAATAAAATGAAATCAACTGCCCTGTGGATCTAAGCCCACGGGTTTTAGTGCTGACCATTCTCTCCACCCGGATAAACCTTAGACGCCTTTATGTTTCCGAGT